TTCTAGGCTTTTCCATGATATAAAAAAATAATTTTTTCATTGTATTATGATAATTCAAATGGGACAGTGAAAAAGTTATTTTTGAAAACGTCATGCCGATAGCCGATAAGTTTTTGTTTAAAATAAAATATAAAACGAATAATATTCAACCCATAATCAATCATAAAAAAACTAAGTCAAGATTTTACTTTTTGCTATGTAAATCTTGATATCTCAAGAAACATTGATGCGAAGCTTATCCGTTTTGCTTCGAGCTAAAATTAATTTTCCTTCATAAATTTTCGAATTTTATCGTTTACATTTTTCACTCGTTCAATCCTTCCGATTGATTGTTTTGTTGAATATTAAATTTGATTAAATTTTTCTTTAGCTTCCGTTTGATTTCCACACTTTATTGAATTTATTAGATATTTTATTTTATTAGCACATTTTTGTTTGAAATCCAGATTCAAATTTTATACCTATTAAGTATTCCACTCACGCTTATCACTTGAAAACAGACGTTACATTTATAATTATATCTTTCAAGGGTGAAATTTCATCTCTTGAAAATGCTCCAAATATTCAAATAATTATTGCGTCAAAAATTTTTCCGCACGAACAGAATAAATGTTGGCGAAAGACTAAAATTGTGTGAAGTTAAACTTAGTATACACTGCAGAAGAATATTGAAGCGAATTAGGCGAATTGAAAGCTCACTCTTCTGAAGAAAATGTGCGAGAGAAAATATTTAAGAGCGTTTCACTTCGTGTATGAAAGGAAATTGTTGATTGAAATGCCGGCTATAAAAGAATGGAAAAACGTGATTCACAAGATCTCACGTGAAGGATGAAAGAGAGGAAACTTTAAAAGACTCAGAGAGTTCGATTTTCATGAGGCGAATTGTAATAAAATTGAAGCAGGTTTCTATTTTCATTAAATCATCATGATGAAAGCATTGCACGAATGAGCGCAAAAAAAATCTATGAAAAAAATATTAACTTCGTTCATTTAACAAGAAATGATCAAATCTTTGTTGTTCTTTCTTTATTTTTAAGTAGCTTGAAACTTTTTTTTATAAAATCATTAACAATATAATTTTTCAAGTTTTCTTTCATTAAATATTCTGGAAAGACTTTATTTAACGAATCAATTGATAAGGAAATGAGATAATGAAAAAGTGGTCGACATTTTTCGACGCTTTCTTTGCCGTCAATTTACTTATCTTATCTTATTTATTTTCCACTGCCGTCAAAAAATTTAATTCAGCGCTGAAAATATTTCATTTCATTTGTGATTCTTCTTCCATTTGTCATCAAATTGTACAAGAATGTCGGAGACAACAAAACAAATTGTTATTGTGGGAGACGGAACCGTTGGAAAGACGTGTTTACTACATTCTTATTCAAATGAAAGCTTTCTTGAGAGTTACGTGCCGACCGTGTGAGTCGCCTTGGAATTTTACATTTATTCTCATATTTTATTCAATCGAGTTTGAGTGGTTTGTATTTTCAGCCTTTATGATAAGATTGCATTCATACGACAGTAAAAGAGTCAGGGAAGAAAACAATTCACAAATCTTTAAAAATTGTTTTGAACATTAAATTTATTAAGCATTAGTCATATTTATTTGTGTTTTATGTTTACTTAAACATAGTAAAGATTTATTATCTTATAATTTTTCAATTTAGATATGAGAAAGAGGTGTTTGATTTAGAGCTTAATGGTGTTGTGCACACCGTGAAATTGATTGACACAGCGGGACAGGAAGAATACGAAAGAGTACGAAAGCTGTTTTACAAAGAAGCAAATTGTTTTATCCTCTGTTATGATGTTTCCAATCGAAATTCTTTCACGAACATAATGCATAAATGGGTTCCAGAATTACAGAATATTGACAGTTGGCCTGTGCCTATTGTTCTTGTAGGTAAAACGAATTTAGAAAAATTCTCACGAATAAAAAAGAAATAAATTAATCTAATTTTCTAGCTACAAAGGTTGACCTTAGAGAAAATGCTCACCGACCGATGATATCGACTCAAGAGGGACAAGAGTTGAGTAGAAAAATGAACGCCTACAGGTTTGTTGAATGTTCTGCAAAGGAAAACATTCGAATTACTGATGCTATACATGAAGCTGTGAGAGCTGCCGTTAAAGGTCCAATTATGGTGAACGACACGAGACAATCAAAACCTTCATTTTGGGGATGCTGTCAACGATGACTACGCAAATCTATTGAAATTCATTGCAGGAGCCGAAAACTTTCAGCAATCGATTTTTGTTTCCAAAATATGATTTAAACTGTACATATGTTAACTTACATAAATGGTGTTGTATCCGATTGATTTGTTGCGGAACTTTCTGTAATAAAACTTTTCTCCTTAAATGAAACTGTGATAATCAATTTCCTGTAAATGATGCTGAATAACAGATACGCAAAGTTTGAATCGGCATTTATTGATGAGTTTAACTGTACTTTTGATGATTTACTTCATTAACACTATGTGGGTGCTGAGAAGCGGTTATTTATAGCACTTCAGTATTTCTCAGATTGAAAACAAGGATTAAGAAAACATGGTTAAGGAAAAGTATTTAAATGAGGGAGAAGATCTCTTCTAAGATAAATTAAACTTCCGAGAATTTTTTAGCAAAGCTTTTAATCCCATACAAAATCCTTTTGCACCATCTTAATGAACAATTAAAACATAAAATGATATCTTGTTTTTGTTGAATATCTTTCTTGAATTCGGGCCCCGCGCAAAAAATTAATCTCATTAATTCGTTATTCAATTCAGAATTAATTTTAATTCCGTCATAACAGTCTTGTTTTCCTCCGTCTGCTTTTATTTATTTCGACAAGTATTTTTTTCAAAAAGCTAGTGAAAGTTCAAGAGATGAATTTTAATGATGAGGGTGCAATAACATTTCATGAATTCGTGAATATTTCCTTGAATAGAGAAGGAAGCAAATAAGCGTGACCCTTTTTTCTCGATTTTATTTCGCAAGATGAATTTGAAAGGCTCCGGCATATGTGGAAAACATTCAAACGTTAAAAGCAATTTATTTAATAAATAACATGAGTCATTCTGTGATGACATTTGATACCAAAAATTCCTCTGTAAAATCCCCAGAGAAACGCGTGCAAACTACTTTCATTTGTCATCTATTCTTTTTCTGTCTTGTTTTTTGAATGTCAAGAGCATTTCTTAAGCTTTCTTCATATGAGCTATGATTTGATCATTGGCGAGAACTGTCAACATGAAATGCTTTCTACTTATAAGTTATATCGGCTTAGCTCATATTTTTCTTCAGTAAGAGAGGTTTGTAAACATTACGATATGAATCTTAATAGCAAATTCTTTTTCTTTGCCCTTGGAAAATAACAAATCATTGCTCTATGATTGTTATTTATACAAACTTATTACAGGGATTGTGGTATGAATAGATTTTCTATATAATAAATATGTGACTCTTATCATTTCTTATTCCACTTATATCGCTTACTTTTATAACATGTAACAGCCGGATCAGTATACCGATGGAAAAAGAAAAACTGAAAACAATGATTTGATGCTAACGGAGATTGATTTTCTTTCTTTATTCAGAACAATTCAACACATAAGCTTTTATATGTGTAAGCAAAGTGAAAACAGAAGAAATCTTTGCCGTAAGGTAATTCAGATTTCATTCGAATCAAGAAATGGAAAATCGTTCTCATTTACTATCCCAAATATTTCATCTACGTCACAAAAGGTCAACTTTTTCACGGTAAAGATTCGAATATCAATTGAATATCTCTTTGAAAATCTAAAATGATGGATGAAATTTACTATAAAGGTAAAAATGTTATAAGCTTTGTTGACATATGATGGGATGGGAAAACATAAAGCAAACATTTTGGTAAGAAAATGTAGGGAACAGAATTGCTTCAGGTTCTTTGAGTTCCGTGTTGAAGCTCAAAGAAAATTCTTCTTCGGAAAACCATTAATTTTGAAAATTTTTGTTCCTTAATGTGCTAAGTTTTGTTATCACACAATCCGAGTGACGGGAAGCAAACTCATAGAAAAACCAAGACAGGATAAACCAATAGAAGTCAAACAAAATATCAAAACTGCTAGTTGCAAAGCCTAAAAATTTTACCACTTCAAAAATGCTTTGAAATTCCTGAAAGCTTCTTTTTATATATCACGAAACCATTAAACTATCAACAAGGAAACTTTTTGTTTCAGACATTTTTCGTTCGTTCGTTAATGGCGGGGAAACTTTTCCGTTTTTCTCATAACAGTAATCTTCACCATAATGCTTTAACTTTTGAAATTAAAGTTACTCTACTTATTAAATGTAGAATGCCTAACCGCAAAAGCTTCTTCATTAACGCCAATAAACTTTAACTAAGGCTTTATACATTTTTAAATTCTTTAATAAACTCACGATCCAATTATGTAAGTTTTGCTTTTAAGTAAAATCGTTTATGAAAATTACTCAGACACATGCTTAAAGGCATTTTTGAATCGAGGAAAAAGCAGAGAAAAATCTGAAAATGTTTTCAGTTGCTTTGGGAATGATTATTTTTCATTACCGAAAATTTTTATGACATTTTTTCAGCAAGGAACGAAAATCAAAAGCAAAACAAATTTAAAGCGTAAAATGTTTCATCTGATAGATAAGGAAAAACTTTTTCAATGAAATGTTTGATTAAATAAAGAACAGAAGAATCTTCTCAACTTTTTCTTTTCTCTTTCTTATCTACTCCGGAAACACATTTCGATTCAAAATACTTTGCACAACACAAATGAATGAAGAAAGAAACAAAAATCTGGTTTTTTCTTAGGTATTGATTTGAAGCTAAGAATTTGCTGACAAAACAAATCCTCGTTGAGTAATTAGAAGAATGGAGCGAGATTTATTATCAAATTCAGCTTAACGATAATGACGTAAAAAACTTATCTAGAACACCACAGTTGTCGAAATCGAACTCAATTTGTGCTTCCCTAAACCGACGACTTGCTGTTTAATCAAAAGTCCACAATCTCTCTTTGGGGATTAGCAGATATTTGAATATTATTAAATTTTTCCGACGGTGATTTTATTTCATCTCAAAGTTGGTGAATATTCAGATTCCCTAGACAACAATGAAATATAAAAGTTGACTTTTCTTTCCGACCACCCTTTGTCCTTGATCCTTTTCAAAAAGCGCCATGAAATGAAATTTTCACAGTGCACATTATAAAAGCCCTGAACAACGAATGTCAACTTAAAAAGTGTCAGAAAAACTTAAAGACAAAAGAAGTTTGATCTTAAAACAATTTCTTCTCGTTAATTCAATTTGTTTTAGATAAAATCGCATACAATTTGTAAAAATTTTCTAGTTGAATGACCGTGATTTTTACGAGTTGAAATTTTTATGATAAATTAGATATTTCAACGAAGCGTCTGCAGAATGGGAGCTTCTGGTGAAATTAATAAAATAATCTGCACCTGCCTTCGTTAATGCGTTATTAAGACACCATAAAAATTTCGATTGCTTTATCATCTTACTTACAAGTCATTAAATTGAACGTGTCAAGAATATTAAAAACATCAATAAATTTATACTTTTTCATATTAATGTGTTGAAGGACATTTCTAAAAGAAGTTTTGTGAACAACATGTTTCTATGAGGAAGAAAATTCCTTTTGGAATTTAATTTCGAGAAGACGTGGATGTCAAAGTTTCCTTATTTAGCCAATATTTATTCTTCTTTACCAAATTCTTTAATAGGATCAAGAAATGACCATTTTCCCCAATGGATCCTTTTCTAAAGTTCTCATCAAACCTTTACTTCTTTGATCCTATTTCAGTATGTTTCTTTCTTCACATCTTTACAAGTCTATAAAGTTCAGAATTTTCAAATTAAATGGGATTTTTATGAGACATTCGCTTACTTCTTTTATCGATCCTATCAAAAGACTCAAGTTAGATCACAAGAAAGACTCAAGTTAGACTGAAATAGAATTCGTTTTCTTGTTCATTAACTTTCTCATTAAGTAGACAATTCCTATGCAGAACGGTGTTGTTGTTACAAATGTCATTGCCAGTTTCTAAATTATTTCAATCGAATCACAGACTCTATTAACTGAAACATCTTAAGTGCGTGGGAGTATAATATAGTCTCGCTCCTAACAATAAATCTTCTTTAAAGCTGACGTGTGCGTTCGCGATAAAAAATCGAGCTTCATCCTTCTCTCTGTGTTGCCAAAATATCTTCGACGTAAAGTCTGAATAAAATTACAAAATTTCCGTTAAAAAACTCGTTGGAAAAAAGGCTAGATGAGTTTACAAGATACAAATTTTTGATGGATATTAATCAAGAGCTTTTCTTCTTGTTTTCTCTCTGTTTTTCCAAGAGTAATTTATAGCAGTAAAAGTTTTTCCTCTTTCTTTCACGTTGCGGGTGATATGTCAGATAAATTTTAGAATTATAATCTTTTTTAATTGAAATTTTAAAACGAAAATTGTATTAAAGTTTAAATGTTCATTGCATCAAGAAACTTGAACTAATTAAGCAGCGTTAAAATAATTTGTAGAATCTTTCATGGATATGAAAATGTTTGCTGGGTTTACATGGGACATTTAACGCTCATTGTCAAAGAAAACGAATAATTTGCGTGATCAAATCAACTATTTAACTTGTGCGTACGTGCTTATATGTTTTAGTAAAGTCTTTGAAGCAACAATTAACAGCAAATTACAAGTATTAAATCCATAAGATGATGTTAGCAATTTAAATCAACAATATGACTTCAATTCTCTCATTTCATACAAATTCTTATAATTTTCATAAATGAATGTTGATTTAACTTCAGACGAGAAAACGAATTTTACCTTGCAATTTTTCTTATTCCAATAAAGCTTCAAGCTTTGTTTCCATCATGTCTGAGAGAGAAAGTATAATCACGATCATTAATCTTTAATGGAAGGTGTGTGACATTACAACTTTTGAACTCATTTGCTATCTTTAATTTAATGAAACTTCAAAAAAATGGAATTATTTTAAATTAAAATTATTGCTGTCGTCACTTTGATAATTTATGTGGGAATCTCAGTTAAATATTTGAAGAGTGTTTTTATTTTCATGTTAGATAAGTCAACATTTCGTTTTTTCCAGCATATTTATGAGTTGCCCTTAAACGAATGTTCAACATAATTTAATACATGAGTTTGAAGGGTAAACTTTCCTCAATCAATCCACAAACTGATTCATTTCATGTATGGACATACTTACATATGTAATTGGATTTATTCCTTTACTTTTTCCTTTCGAATACATTATTATCTTTTCCTTTTATTCATATTGAATTATCGACATACTCAATGCTTAGTAAATGATGGCAAAAAAGGATATGTGCAGTATTTAAACATTTTCATCACTGATTTCATCTATACTTGCAATAAAAATGGAATGTTTTAAGTTATTTGTATTATAAATTGCACTTTTCATTTAAGAGAAAATTCTCTTGTCATTTCCGACGATAAATAAAGAAAGTGGAGAAAAGTTTTAAATTAAATTGTTTAACATGACAAATATGTATTGATGCTGATTATTGAAAAAGTTTTATATAAAAGTTTTTAAGGTCGTTAGTAATATTTTGATGAATTTATTTCCTATTTAATGTTTCCTTATTATTTCCTATAAATTCAGATTTTATTTATTAATTATAATTGACAAGTTTTCAGGAACTTTCGGAAAGCTTTTCATCAATCAGATCAGAAAACTTTCAACTCTATCAAAAAATATTAAAACTTGTCTTTAAAAATTTTATGAAGTTATAAATCAAATCATATTAAGTTTAACATTTTTAACTTATGTCATGGAAAAATGCATTTATGCTGGTAACATGTGACATGTCATTTATGTATAGTGAACGAATTAACGATTTGTGGTGAAATTTTTCCATGGTGAGATTTTTTTGTCGTCCGGATTAAGCTGATCGATGCAAAGAATGAAGAATATAAACAAATACACGAAAATTAAAAATTTTAGTTTACTAACATATTATGCGTTAGTTGTGATAAGAATTGTGCTTGTTTTTATCCCTCAATATGGATACATCCATCCTGATGAATTTTTCCAAACATCTGAAGTTATTTCCGGTAAATTTCCATAAAATTATAATTTTGGTTTAAAATTTTACAATTTTTTTACTATCACAGGTGAAACATTCCAACTAGAGGCAACACGAACTTGGGAATTTAACACTACAATGCCAATTAGAAGCTACGCAATTCCGTTTTTTTACTTAAGGATTCCAATGGCGATTTTTAGAATATTTTCAACTTTCTCAAGAATTATTTTAAACTTCGATCTTCTGTCAAGCTATACATTATTAGTTTTTCCTCGAGTCATCATGTGCATCCTTTCGTTCGTCAACGATTTCAGTGTCTTCAAAATATGTAGTTTATATAACTTAAAGTATGACATTCGGTTGATGGCTCTAGCAAGTTCCGGTGTGATGCTAACATTCGGCATCCGTTCGTTCTCGAACTCAGTTGAAATGTTGTTGTGCTCGTTACTTCTTTATTTTGTCAGTGATTCCATGATTCTTTCAAATACCGTGATATATCAAAAAGAGTATCTGGAAGAGAAATATGAAAAAGCTAAGAAAGTTGGCGAACGTGTCAAATACTTTAAGATGAAAATGTCATTGCCTCAGCATTCCTACAACAATTTTGCAATTCTCTCAACGATTTGCATCGTAGGAATTTTCAACCGTCCAACTTTCATGTTATTTGGTTTTCCAACTATTTTCCATTGGATGATTCGAGGATTCGGCACACGTTCTGTAACCTTCTTTGATTTCAACATTCGAATGCTGCTTTTCATAATAAGTGGACTACCAACTCTTTTTGTCATCATCATTATTGATTCACTTTATTACGGTTACTTGTCGCTAGCGCAAATTTACATCATGGATGTAAAAATTGAAAGTTTTCTTGTGACACCGGTGAACTTTTTTCGCTATAATCTCATTCCGGAGAACACAGCCAAACATGGTGAACATCCGAAATGGCTTCACATGCTCATCAATATTCCTTTGCTTTATAACGTACTTGGAATTATCGCAGTCTTTACCTTCGGTTCAATGTTCTACAAATTTTGTAAGAAAGAATTCAATAACCTGCCTCATTCTCAATCATTTGTTTCGTTAATGACGAGTGCTGTCTTCGCTCCTGTGCTTCTACTATCATTATTCAACCATCAAGAGCCGAGATTTATTATTCCAATAACAGTTCCACTCATTATGCTTCACGCTCCTAAGCTTATCACTGGAATCAACGTTACAAGCTTCTTGAAAGAATCGAAATGGAATGTTGCTAAATTTTTATCTAATTACATTGACATTACAATTAGTGGAAAAATTATCCTTCGTTTATGGTTCTTAGCGAATGTAATGTTCACTCTTTTCTTTGGATTTATTCACCAAGCTGGTGTCGTTCAACTTGCTGACTACTTTTCCAAATACCATCAAATGCAACCGTCGTCAAAGCAAATTCATCTTGTCACAAGTCACATTTACAAACTTCCTGAATCTCTTCTTATTCTTCCACATGCAAGCTCCCTTTACACGAATCCACAAACAGGTCAAACGTATAAAATGAAGCGACGGTTCTTCATTCATGAATATGGAGGATTGAAGATGGAGGAAATGTTTAAGAAGACGAAACTCCTATCAGATGTTGCGGAAAATCGCATGACAACAAAGAATATAAATTACGACTTGTTCGTTGCTGTTCCAACAAGTAAAGCTTTTGAGCTTAATCAAATTTTTCACAAGCATCGCGGAATTTTCAGCTTCAAAGAAGAAAGAATTTTCTACCCGCATTTGTCGACTGAAGCGTTTCCAAACATCCATCAAGTTTTCCACCCGTGTGAAATTGATATCGTTGATGAAAATGAGTTTGATGAACAATGTGTAGAAGATGAAGTGCTGTTGTCTTCAGCGGTTTGGACGCGTAAATTTACATCAATAGCTCAACAATTTGGGCTTGTCGTGTATAAAATAGAAGTAAAGCACAAAAGTTTCTGAACAAGAAAACGAAAAACTTCTTTGAATGATCGTCTAGTCGAAAAACTATGAGCATTAATTTCACTTTAACAATGAACAGGTGTTTTATCTATCGAAACTTTTTATTTAACTCCCTTTTTGCTTTCTAATGCCAGAGTTGTTAATTTGTTAAAGTAATTTTAAGGTTGACAAAATTTAAGAAAAAGATAAAACGAAATAAAAAAAATTCACGTTTTAGATTAAAAAATGTAATTTTAAAATTAAATGAAGTCACATCTCTGGATTCTATGCACAATTTCACAAGTAATGTTATTCGCTTTCTCAACTTAAATAGTCCCTAAAGTAACGTCATCCGTAAATCATTGCTTATCGTAATTTATTTCACATTTATCCATTTCGCTTTACTTGCACAGTTGTGAAGGCGATAACATTTGCTGTAGCACCTTTATATGTTCGTACTTACATAAGTACAGAACAGAACAGAACATAACAGAATGAGTGATATGAAAAACCAAAGAAAAAGTAAAAGTAATAAAAGAAAGAAACAAAAAGCTGCTTTTTTCAACGTCATAAAATGTTTCCGTCTTATTCTTGATTGTTATTCACATATCTAGATATCCAGTTGCATTTATAAAACTTTCAGCACAGTGAACCTTGTACTGGTAACATGGCATGGCATAGTTCAATGTCGCATCAAGTTTCAAGACTCTGAATGTCGATTCATTAAATGATTTAAGTGGTATGAAGTATTGATGAGAAGTAAACGTCTATAAGATGAAATGAAACGATTACAGTTCGTACAAATTGCTTTGTAATGGTCTATCGATAAGCGTCATTCGTGCGAAAATTGTTTAATGTCTCACAGTTACACTTATTCATGTCTCTCTAGGTTGAAAGCAAGGTTGAAGAAAATTCCATTAAAAATGCTCTTATTTGCTTATTCTCACTTTTAATAGCTTACGTAGGAAGGGAACAATTAATAAAATTATATTTGGCAGAAAAATGTTTTCTTAATGCGATTCAAAGGTCAATGACATTTATTTAAGTGACATGGTGACTTGAATTTCACAAAAGACTTCGATTTCGATTATGAAACGAAAATATAAATCGAGCTGGGCTGTGTCTTTAATTCATGTCAATTTATATTTTACATAATCACAATAATGAGTGTAAAGAAACGAATAAATTGTTTATTCGACATGTCTGAGCTAAGGAATTTTATTATTAATTATATTAAAAATAATTTTGTAACTTTACATGACGCATGTGGTTGACTTTTGGGTTTTTGTGAACAACTTCCTTAATTTGAGTTCAATTATTTATACTTTCTGATGGCAGATAAGAAGATATTTATTTAAAATATTCCAGTGAGGGTAAACTTTGTCATATTTACATTTATAATAAATCTAACATTTCCCTGCATGCCAAGGTTATAAAAAGAATTCACAAAACTTTTACTAAGCTTCAAAACTTTACTTGTATACATACAAAGAACTAAATGAGAAAAGTTGATGAAAACTTTTTTGTTTATCTTTTGCATTGTTTCTAGGAAGCTTCATTTGTGAGTTAAAATATTTGAAGGAGAAGTTCTGATATTGGAATGACGACAGTTTTTCTTTTTTAGATATATTAAAAATTTCCATAGATGATAGAAAAGATTTGCTGAGGAATTCAATCATAACAGAAATGTTTGGAGCTGCATGTTCTTCGTCTATGGGATGTAAACTATGCATGTGGTATGAATCAAACAGAATATCTTAAAATTGAGGGTGGAAAGAAAATCTTAATGCTTTGTTGTTTTCTTTTCATTTCGATTTTTATTGAGATTTGCTCAGAAAGCTTGAGGGCAAATCCATTTAAGTTTTTTCCGAATAAAAGTAATCTTCGTTCGTGTTCAACTTCCATATCTTTTAATGGAAATTTGAAAAGAATTTCAGCTAGATATGATAGAAGTCTTCTTATCTTACGGGTTTTTGCAAACATCACTCGAAAACATTAACCTTTACTTGTTGAAGCTAAGCAACACTTTTTGTATAATCAGATTTTAAATGTTGAATGAAACATTTTCAGGTATTTGAATTCAGCTTTATGCAAAGGTTACGGTTTAATTACTCACCGATGAATGGATTAATTTCAGCATTAGCTTTTAAATAAATCAACCTCTCTAAATTCTGAATGGATCTTAATGTTTCCTAAATGAGCTGAAAATAAATCTACGTAATTAAAAGCGAAAAGGAACTAATTTACTCAATAGGTGGTAGATACGGAATAAAATTTAAGATTATAATGCTTTCTAAGCTTAAATAATTAAAACAAATGTTTTAATCAACACACACTTAAAGCTGCTTATGAGATTTCCACATGTCAACTGAAACATTTGTCATCTTTTAAAATTGTTTAAGACTTGAATGAAAACTTCAATCTGTAAAACATGTTCTCGTTGAAAAGTTTTTGTGTGTTTATCAACTGAATAAAATAATTTTGAGAGATATTTGACAACATTAATTTGTTGGAACATCAGATAATGGGGGTAAATGTCTGCTTGTATCTTCCTTAACTTATTCTCCCTTTTTTTGTTAGAATCTTAGATCTAAATAAAGCGTCGTTAAACTTTGAAAAGCTATAAACGATGTGATTTATCACAGTTGTAGATAGTTTGCTGTCTGAGAAAGGGAGAGTATTTAATATGGAATTAACTGCAAATGGTGCTACATAAGTTAAGTGACAAATTATTGAATGAAAAAAATTTTCAGCATAATTTTCTTCTAAGGAATTTCGAGCAATTTTCAACCTGTTATTTGTCTACTTTAAATGGATCTAAGTTTACATCACATAAAATCATCGGATTAAGGAAAGGTTTCATGTCTTGAATAAAAATTGAGTGAATTATTTGACCCAGGTTTAAAATGTAACATGTAACCTCAAGCCGACACCTTAATACTATGGAAGCGTATCTAAAAATAATAACCGAAACCTTTTTCTTCTGCTCTCTTCTTTTTACAAATTATTTAGATATAAATCTATCTTCTCCCATGATACATCATCCCTTTTGACAAATAACAATTACCCACCTCGAGGTTGTTTAGTCGAACACTTTCAGGATTTCCATCACAATTCCATCATAATTGTCTCATTTGTATTTGTCGAACGTAATCACGATTTCCACTCACTTTTCGCCTAAAGCAAAACTTTTCGGTTGATTTAAATTTTAAAGCTGATTTCAACCTACAAAAACAACTTCAAAATGTATGTTTAAAGACAACTTTCTAGGTGACACATTCTTGTAAATAAAATAAAAATAAATATAAAAATATTCTTGTAATGATGGAGAACACGACGGTTTATTTCAATGGCATGAGAAGTGAGTTGTTTGTAGGTAAAATAAAAATTAAATTAAATAAAACAATTCACAACATTGAAATGTGATTTTTTCGTCGGATTTCAAAATTTATTTCAGCAATAAATAAAAACAAATGTCAACAAAAAAGGCAATTTATGTTATCAAAACGGCATTTTCTTTTATCATTGCTTTTAATACAAAATTCGTTGGATGGAGCTTTAATAATTTCATAAAGTATTTTATTTAACTCAAAGAAATTGTTTTGTTATTTATCAGAAATCTCTTTAATAAAACAAAAAATAGTTTCACAACAATCCTTTTCAATCTCAATAAAACTGTTTCTTTGAGTTAACTAAAACGAGTTTTTCAATCATGCAGCAGGGTGTATGGATTATAAACAGCAGGTAGCTTCTGTTAAATGTTTGATAACGAAATTCACCGGAAGATATTACTGACGTGAGGTAAAATATTTTTTATTTCTCACATCAATCTTTTCTTTTCTTGAACCCAAAAGGTGAAAGAAATGATTTTTATGAGTGCTGCTTATATTAAATATAGAAGGTTGTGTTGTTCGTTTGAACTCTGATACATTTATATACAGCCTTTAGAGTTATCATCATTTATGTTCCAGTGAAGGTCTGGAGCAAGACTTTTAAATTTGAACCGGTTTCGTAATTGATTTTTATTGCTTTTTCTGGTTGAAAAGCGAATTCTGCTCTAGTTAAAGTAAATCGGTTGTGTATAAATATTTAAGGAAAGCAAAGAGAAAAAATATTTTGGACTTGATAAAAGAAGCGAAAGAACGAGAAAGGAAATATTCAGTCGAGCATAGTAAAAGGTTCTCGAATGTCGCATGCCATGAAAGCATAATTGAATAGCTGCAAGCTAACCAAGCAACATCGCCAACATATTTCTTTAAATTAAAATTCACTTGATAAGCAAAACCAACGCAATAAAAATCAATTTCTTGCTTCTGCAATAAACTAGACCCCCAAGAGTAACGGAACGTTAACAAAAATGTGAGTTCGCACAAATTTCTATCATAAAAGAATCAAGAAGCAAAAAAAAAAATAAATCAGTCATCTCAGCGAAAAATGAAACCTAAAACACATTTGGTGAATCATATTTAGATTTTAAATCTAACCTTTATAAATTTATATTTGATATTAGTTTTATGACTTTGTGTAAATTTAGATTTGCTACACCTGATTGACATTCACACGGGGGTCATAAATATGAGCATTAAACGGATGAATCATTTACGTGCTACGACACTATACACGGCCTAATTTTTTTTAATTTATAATTTTCTTTTTCTTCATCTCACACCTCACATTCGATGTCAGTCAGACGACGCTACGAGCCATGAGAAAAAATTAATCATTAAATAAATGTTTCTTTTTTGTTTATTTACAAAGCGCGTTAAGTACACTTATAGACTCGTTGGTCTTGTTATTTTCTCATAACAACAAATGACAGCAGTCATCCAAATGCCGGCATGCAGAGTTATTAAAGACAAAGCAAATTAATGCATAAATTTTTTTATTTAAATTTTATGCTTTACAATTCGCATCGATTTTTGATTTTGACATAACTCATTAATATTCGGGTGTGACCTCCAAACGATAAACTTCACGTTTCCGAGGATATTTTTGTTTGAAAAAAGAATTAAAAAGATGACAGCACGTGTGGTCGTTAAATCGTCTTTGTGAGATATTCAACGTTTCTTTAGAACATGATCTCGTTAACCTTTTATATGCGAGAATATCGAAGAAGTTTCGTGATGCAGATATGTATGTAGCAAAATATTTATGTTGTTGAAAGCGAAAAACGAGTTTTTCAATTGAATCGTGACTAATTGCGCGAAGAAATTGTTGTTAACAATGTGCATGTGCATCTTACTGTGATGATGAGTTAACATGTTGATAGTAAATATAATCGGAGTGGTAGATTTAGTAGCTTGATGAAAGAATAAACATAAAAAGATGTTTAACGATGTTGAGAGAATTCTGTAATGTTCGTATTTCCTCTTATATGTCACACAATTAATTAGCTCTGTGAGTATGTTATGACGATGTTTAATAACAAAGGTTTAAATGAATTCTTTTAATGTTTAATCTCACTTATAGAACACATTGATTCAATAAAAAGAAACTAAAAGTGAAATATGTACGTCTATAGATACAAGACAATGAAATAATGGGAATCATAAAATCAGCAAGCAATAATTTTCTCTAATTAATGGTTAAAGGAAATTACAATTAATGAAAATTACTGGTTGCTATTTTACTTCATTCTTTTATGTTTGAACATAAAATGTACTTAAGGGAATAAACACTAAATGCATTTTATTGAGAGCTCAATTCTACACAACTCAATTCATTTGTCTTGCAATGGACTCTGGCAGACACAAATGTTAAATATATTTGTCTGTCAACTGGAATTAAACAATATCCACTAATGTTAGATCTTAAGTTAGATAAAATCAAGGACAAATATTTTATTTTAAATTGTCATTTGCAATGACATTTAAAGTATTTAAAAGCTTTTCTTGAATAAATATCTGTTAAGGATGCAAAGTTTTTTTTCGTGTTACAATGTTAGCAAGATAGATAATTGAAAAACAAAAGCTTTTTAAAAGCTCCTTGAGGTTGGCTTATTACATGAAGAAAGGATCTGCAGCAACTTGAATAACCAACTCGCGTCTAGACAATAAGTCTTTTAAATTCACTCGATATGTGAAAAATCCTCTCGTTTTTCTTTTGGTTTAACTTAGGGAACGACAGAGACTCTTAAGCTTTTAATGTCTTCATTGACTCAATCTTATTTTCTCATCTCAATGAACTGCTTAAATGAAAAAGCGGATATGAAAATGTATGAACGGAAACGAAGCTTTCGACGCTGGACAGATTGGAAGACATTTCAATTGACTTTCCCACATAATTTATCTTCATCCATCAACATCGTTTTGTGTTTTAATGAACAAATGTTAAACACTTTACAGATCCGACCTTAACACTCACCATTTCTTCAATTAGCTGTTGGGTTCAAGTCAAACCTTTTTTTTGCCACACATCGCACAAATTGTGCTGCCAAACTTTAGCATCATTAGCATCGTCCGAAACAATTATTTTCGCATAGAGATATGTTCATCATACAATATGAAGAAAAAAAACAGAGTTTACCATCATTTGCATAAATAATAACAATCTTGAATGTTGCTTCTATACGCTATTAAGCCTTTCTGTGAAATGCAAGGCGAAGCAATGAATTAATTATATTCACTTAAATACCACAAAAGAACGCACAATGTTCGGTAAATATTTATGAATATTGGAGCGGGAGAGAATTGAAAACGAAAGTAAAGTGATACACTTCTGAATCATTATTAACAACAACAAGATGTTGTGGTTGTGCGAATACATGCAATCGTAATCGAATCTCAATTTGTTGCAGTCAGTGATGTTAAATTATAATTTTCGTCTTATGCAAACCTTTACTTTCAATCTTTTATAATTTCTTTTGGGAATATTGTTGAACATAAATTTCTATGAACATTTAACATCTCTGCCTTCCATCTCACAGACACCGAAGCATAAAATTGTCTGTGATGGGATCGTGAAATTGGTCCCTGAAGAATTAAATCGAACTAGTTCACATCACGACAGGATTTACTTAGGCTTTGCCTTCCACGTATTTACGAGTTGACTCGTATAAGTAATTGTGTTTCGATTCACGGACAAGATATAGAAAAATGCTCCTATAAAAGCAACTGAAAAAAGTTCAATTGGTATCATTCATTTCTCAAATATCCATCAAGTAACATCCATTCTTCATTTATAACAAGACAATGGCATTTAAGGTAAACAATTAACAAAAAGAAAAAATCTTTTGTATATTTTTTAAAATCAAATTTCATTTAAGTTTGTTGCATTTGTTGCTACTTTGGCTTTGGCCAATGCTGGAATCATCTCTGAACCAGCATCATACTCATCATTGAGTTATGCTGCACCAGTTAAGACATTGGTTCAACCAGTTTCATATCAAGCTCCGGTAGCATCATCATCCCAATACCAAAAGACCGTCTCATACTCGCAGCCAAAGGCCTACGTTGCCCAACCAGCTGTTGCTAGCTACCAAAGCTATGAACCTGTTGCTGTCTCAAGCTACCATCATCAACCACAACAGGTTTATGCTGCTCAGCCAGCCTATGGACATTATGATTCTTCATCTTCTTCCCAACAAAACATCTTAAGATCGTCTCATGGAACAGTCAGCCATATTTCAAAAACTATTGACACACCAGTCTCAAGCATCCGCAAATACGACACACGTGTCATCAATGATGGATACAAGACCGTTTCATACGCTCAACCAGCTGCTTATGTTGCACAACCTGCTACTTATGTTTCCCATCAACCAGCTGCTTATGTTTCCCATCAACCAGCTGCTTATGCTTCCTATCAACCAGAAGTGCACAGCTACACTCAAGTCGCCCAGCCATTGTTGACCAAAACAATTGCTCAACCTGTTGTTGCTAAAACAATTGTTAGCCAACCAATTGCACATGTCGCTCAACCAACACATTACGCTGCTCAACCATCACACTACGCCGCTCATGCTCCAGTCTTAGCCTCTAAAGTGCACTACAGCCCAGCCATTGAAGTTGCACATGCAAGCTACGAGTCACCAGTCGCTCATTACAGCTGGTAAATGCCAACAAACTCTGCCCATTTCTGAATGATGAACTTTTATTTATTTTATTTTTTCTGGGGAGAAAATCTCAAGATTTATTCACAAATTTTTATATTCTGAATAAATTTCGAGAAAAGTTTTGAATAAATATTTCGATAAGAAAAGCTTTGCATTTTTATTCATATGAATTCATTTTGACAACTTTTTAAAATTCTTTGAGTTATTTATAATGTATCCGCAGAATATATTTACATCGCCTTGAAATTAAAATTATTCATTGCGGGAGTGAATGAAAATTGAAAAGAAAATATTTACAGGTATGATCAAAGACAAGCTATATAATCTGATTTTCAGACTACCTTAAATTTAAGATTCTATCTGAGATAATAAAAACTTTTAAAAGGCAATTTGTTATTCTGATTTGATTTAACATTCTTTGAGAGATTTAATGAATCGTTTGACATCCATACAAAAGCCATTGTTAAATTGAAGATTTGGCTTAAATAATAGATTAGATATGAAAGAATTTCTTGAGAGACAAAATGCTTCCAAATTCTCTAAATATCAAAGCTCACATTTTTTTAACATTTTATGCTTGAATTACATGTATGTTTGACAAAAACATAAAAATAACGACATTTTCCAATTTAAAAATTTCACCACTTGGACCAAACTGGAATGAAAGGATTAAACTGCTATTTCAATCCAGTTTGATCCACTTGATAAAAACAAAACTTTTGAAAAATATTTCCTTCTCATTTTTAATTTTTAAATTAAGTAAGAATGAACCAGCAAACGCGTGATATGAATTCGTTTCTTGCTGAACAAGCAATGCTTCTCGCTAACAATTCAGTTAGTTTAACGCAAATCTCAAGACCGGTTTCTATTCCAACAAATAACAGCAACAAGCAAAATATTCAAAATCAACCATCGCCAATTTCGACTCCTACACCAATGCAATCGTCATCACCAGCAAGTTCCTCCACTTCCAATCTCTCCAAGTACAGTCAACTTTTGCTGGTATTGGAAGAAATGGGAAAAGATATTCGGTAACAATCACATATGCTAAGAAATGATTTCTGATAAAATTTGCCTAACACGAACTTCTTTCGCTTTTCATATTTTTAGTCCCACGTATTCTGGATCTCGATCATCTGCCGAAAGATTGAAAAGAACCATTGTTCATGCACGAATTCTTGTCCGCGAATGCTTATTGGAGACCGAACGACAGCAAAGTGGTCGACCATAAAAAAAGAAAATTCAGCTCAGCTGTCTAGGAACAGGAATGGAATTTTGGAGAATTATTTCTTCAGAATTATAACGAGTATACTTGATTAGAAATTTAGAAATCCGAAATATCGACGAGTAAAGTCCTCCCCTGAAAAAGAAGTAAACACAAGTGCACCACATAACATTAGAACTCAAGTACAAATTGATGAACCTTCTCACAATAGCCAAGAAACCTGAAAATCAAAATAAATATTTTACATAAAAAGTAGAAAAGTTGCTTTAAATTTAGAAGCAACCTCAGGATAAAGTATAAATTCAGTTCGTCTTAAATGTCCTTTAGAAAATTTTACTTCCCAACTCACATCATAAATATCTATTAATAAATAATAATAATAATTAATCAAAAACAAAATGTATACCAAGCTTTCAACGATGAAAGCATTAAAAATCATTACAATAATTTCATTTTATAGCACATACCGCGTTTCTAATTGTTTAAGGGCAGATATTTTTTACTCTAAAATGCTGTAATCTAGAGTTTTGTTTTAATAATAAGTTAAGACATTTGATATATTGTTGTGCTGATAAGGAGAAGGAAGAAAAAGTATTATAAACACCTTAAAGCCAACAACCGTCTAATTGTAATCTCTTAAGCATAAATGCTATTTAAAATAAAGAGTTAAGATTAAAATAATCTCTGAAAATGTTTTGCAGACGTGACGTTTTTGTCATATTCATCAGAAACTTGACCTAAGCCAAGACCTTCGCTATAATTCACAAACTGATAAGTGGCAAGAATCGAATTATTTTTATTCACAATGCATGTAGTACGTAATTTATTTACATCTTCAAAACATAACAATTATTAATTTAACTATCTAAAAATAATTCAATTAATTTTCGTTTGATTTGGTCTAAAACCCTAAAGCTGAAAACAAATATTAATAAAAGTATATTTTTGTGACATAACGGATGAAATCGTCCCGCTTGACTAATAATATGTTTGGCAACAAAACAAAAATAATTATCAATGACGCGACCATGTCTCGCGCTTCAAAGACGTTCATTGACTTCAATTTATTACAATGAAGGCGATTTCTTTGGAAAGAACAGGTTGTACTTTCTTTTAAGCACCTGATGAGTGTCATCAGTCCAATCGATCATCATTCCATTGCTTTTAAGGTCTAAATAATGTTGCACAAAAGCTCGATTAGTCTGATGAACATTTGGATGATTCATATATTCATCAAGATTCATCCATGTACATTTTGCGATTTCTCGATCACATTTTCTTATTTCTTCAGTTTCAGGTATCAGTTTCATAACGATATAAAGATCACTGCATCCGAAAGCAGCACCATGTGCGTGACGTAATGACACGACACTTTCAAATCTTGTTTTTATATTTGTTTCTTCGAGAACTTCTCGAATGGCAGCTTCGACTAAATTTTCATTCATTTCTAAATAGCCGCCAGGCAATTTCCACGAGTTGGTAATCAAAGCATTTTTTTCACTTACAACTAACACTTGATTTTGGTTGTTAATAACAAGAGCACCAACACCGACCATTGTATGAGCAAAAGGTGGAACAGCCGACGGTTCTGTTTTCGGAAGCCATTTATACATCATTACGAATTCATTTCTAGCATGATGAAAATAAAAATCATTTTTTGCTAGCACTGGTAACCAACTTGCTTGGTTTCTATTGACTTTGAACCAAATTGCTCTTCGCTTTTGTTCCGTCCATTGATTGAGTGATTCTACAAAAAAATTAATAATAAAAGGGGAAATTTTTGTATGTATTATAATAGGCTAACTAAATTTATAACTTGATATGATTTTGACAAGTCAAGAGAATTAAGGGGTTTTTGAAAGATAAGAAATAATAAAACTAAAATCATTACTACACACGTGATATCCAAAAAATTCCAAATTAAAACTAATTAATTGCTTACTTGATAGGATTCCATCGAACTGTGCATCCTCACATTGTTCAGCTGTTGAATCGATAGTTATTCCATTGAATCTATCTGTAACGCCCTTGAATACTCCTTCTTCTGTCGTGTCAACTGCTTCATACCTTAAGAAGAAAAGTAAACAGAAGTCAATCAAGTGCAATGCATGAACAGCTGAGAGAACAACACAAAACAATGAACATTCTGAACTTTGGTCGTATGACCTAATTTATTATTTTTTCTGTTTCTTTCTGTATCTTACGTATGTGTTCTTTTCATTGAAATTCCATTTTCTTTGTGGAATCGTTTAATAAAGAAAAAAAAAATTGACATGCAATAAAACAACTGTTCTTTTACGTCTTTTAATTATTTACCTGTTAAACCATTTATCAGTTGCGTTCATCAAACTGTTGTCACTTTTAGATGTCTCTCCCATTGCTGGTAATTGTTTCAAAGTTCTTCTGGTTATAGCAGTTAGCAGTGAAACGATTTTATTTTTATTCATTTAAAGTGTTCTAAAAGAATTTCATTTGAACTTTTTATGTTTTCTTATCGTCACATACGAGCTATCAATATTTACGTAAAGCTACACGATTTTACACGTTTGGAAGGTCGCGAGCCGCGAGTTTGTCTGACTTTTTAATGTCAAAGAATTTGATTATTTTTCTTGTCTTACGATAAGTAAATGAGTCTACTCGGAAATGTTTAAAATTAAGATTCGGTCTACTTGAAAAATTCGTTAAAGTATTACATACTTTCTTACTTAGAAGAAGAAGTTCCAAGTATATTTATTATTACTCATTATATATCTACATTTACACTTTAAAGAACCTTATAACGAGCCTTATTAATCAAGTGATGTGACACATTCTTAATCTTAAGAAGTTCTTCCTTTATCAATCTTGTGATTTCTCGTTTCGCTTTCGATACTGCCAACTCGCTGCAACTTTCAATAGCAAGATACAATTTCCGTTCTCCTTCGGGAACAGGTTTTCCTGGAGGCACAAATGTTCCACGAACTGTAAGGCCAGCTTCTGAATATTCTGATATTTGTGCAAGAGCTTCCTTTGATGTCACCTTCCAACGTGCTTGTTGAGGAAAATCGTTAATTTCAAGTTCTTCTTCGTATTTTTTGAATAGTCCCTCAGTTTGTTCTCCCAAAATTTCATCCTCATCTTTAGGTTGATAATTAAGTTTGTTGTTTAGTTTTGCAGCAAGTTGTTCAGCAACTGTTCGAGCCTGAAATTTTATGGAAATTTTAAGTATCTAAACAACTTGAGAGTGTTTAAATATAACTTACCGTAATCAATTGATGAGTGTTGGCACCTTTAAGAATTGCTTCAGCTGCTTGTTGTGTTGCTCCTTTAGCTTCAATCCCAAGATTTTTCGCTATATTGATTCTCGATGCAAGACGCTTCGCAAGTTCAAGTTTATCTGTTGATGCAATTGTTGGCTGCACATTAATTGGAACAATTGTTGGAATGACTGGAACTTCAACTTCTTTCACTGTTCGTTTTGTTGCAAACATATTTTCAATAGTCTGATCAATATCATTTTCTAAATCATCTTCGTCATCTGAATCAGCAAGACCAAGCGCAGCTTTTTGTATTTTCTTTTTCTCATTGACAAGTGCAGCTTCTTCTTCGTTAAACTTAAAACCTTTTCCACTGAATCCACCGCCAGTATGAACTTTCTTTCCAATCGCTTCTTGACCTGCTTTATATGTTTCAAAGAGATTTGTTAAATCTTGTGGAACTTGAGCTCCTGAAAGTTCCATAGCACGAGTAATTTCACCAGAATATCGACCCTGATCAGGTGTGAGAAATGTCCAAGCAAATCCTTGTTTTCCTGCACGTCCAGTTCTTCCACAACGATGCACATAATCTTCATAATGATTCGGACAATCATAATTTACAACCAAAATCAATTGCTTTACATCCAAGCCACGGGCTGCAACTGATGTTGCTATGAGAAGCTTGCATCGACCTGATTTGAAATCTAAAATGGTTGAATCGCGATCATATTGATCGATTCCACCATGAAGTGACATACATGGATAAGAAGCTTTCATCAACTCTTTAAGTAATGTGTCAGCATTCTCTTGTTTATCAACAAACACAATAATTGAGCCATGTTCTTGATAATGTCCCAAAAGTTCCAAAAGCTTAAAGAATTTCGCTTCATCTTCCAACACAGCAACATGTTGTTCAACTTCCTTGCACACAACCGATCGTCCACCAACTTGAATCTCAATTGGCTTCTTTAAAAATCGTCTTGCTAAAGCTTCCATTTGTCGTGGAAATGTTGCTGAAAACATGACAGTTTGTCGATCAGGTCTCACGTTGTCAATGATTCTTAAGACTTGCGGTTCAAATCCCATATCGAACATGCGATCAGCTTCATCAAGCACAACGTAAGTCACACGTCTTAAATTCGTTACACGTCCTGAATTTGCTGCTAGCATGTCAATCATTCTTCCAGGCGTGCAAACAATAATTTCTGCTCCACGTTTCAGTTCTGCAATCTGTTCACTAATTCCGGTTCCACCATAAACACAAACGGCTCTTAAGCCAAGTGACTTTGAGAATTTTCTAATATCTTTTCCAATCTGCATACAAAGTTCTCGAGTTGGAGTCATTATAATCCCTATTGGACCTTCACCATCATCAAGTGGCGGTTGATCGAGTATGTGTCGAAACATTGGAAGTATGAAAGCAATTGTTTTACCGCTACCAGTCTTGGCGATTCCAATCAAATCACGTCCACTCATTATAGCTGGAATAGCTTGACATTGAATTGGTGTTGGCTTCTCGAAACTAAGTTTCTTCAACGAATCCATTTCCTTCTTCGATACACCACATTGTGCCCATGTTCTGATTGGTCGTGGGCAACCTTTACCTTTCACTTGAATTCCTTCCAACTCAACTCGATAAGCGTCAACTTCTTCATTCGTCATTCTTGTAATTTCTGGAACTTCAACATAGAAATTCTTCTTAAATGTTCCATAATTCATTGAAGAATGATCGACTTTGGCCAATTCTTTCTTCTGTTTATTTGCCAAATTTGCTGCTGTGTCTTTAATGTCTTCTTGCTCTTCTTCAGATGAATATTCTAAACCATCTTGATTCTGTTCAATTAATTCACCTTTCTTCGTTTCCTGACTAATTGGTTTGTTTTTCACATTACCAGTTACGATAACAACGCCAGAAGATTTTGACGATGTTATTGGCTTCGACATTTTATTTATTTTTCTCACTTCATTGTCGATTCCTTTCATGAAAGCATCCAATGGATCGATGTCTTCATCTTCTTCTTCTTCTTCCCCTTTCTCTTCAGCTGGGAGAGTTTTGTCATCTTCAATAATTTCCATTGGTGTTTCTGGTTCTAATTTTTCTTGAGTAGTCGTAGAAAATTCTTGATTGACTTCAATTATCTCGACATCTTTCTCTTTTGAATCATCCAAAATAGAATCAACAGGTTTCGTATGTGTTGGGCTATCTTCAATTTCTATAACTTTTGGATCAGTCACTGGTTCGACATCATCTTCTTCATCATCTTCTAAGCTCCATTTTTTAGCTGATGGTGTTGTTGCCACTGAAGGTTTCTTTTGAATCTCTGTTAATTTCTGTTTACGTTCTGCTCTCCATCGTTCAATTCGTTCTTTTCTTTTAATCATTTCAAGCTCTAATCGCCGTTGTTCTTCTTCTTTATCGAATTTCGCTGGATCAAAAGATTCGTCTTTGATTTCAATAACTTCTTTTGGTTCTTTTATAATTTCCTTTGGTTGTTGGCGTTCCACTTTAATGTCACGTTCTCGATCTCGAGATTTTTCGCGATTATTTTTATCACGTGATCGAGATCTTTCACGAGATTTCTTCTTGTCTTTACCATTTCCACTGAAATGTTATGAAAATATAAAGTCAATGTTATTATTTTTAATATTATCATCAAAACTTACTTTTTTCTTCTCGAATCTTTATCGTCACGTCTCTCCTTACTTCTACTGCGAGATTTGTTTCGGCTTTTCTTTTTCTTATCACGTTCTTTACTTTTGTTTCTTTCACGGTCAGATTTTTTGGATTTCTTTCTATAATATTCAGGTGATTCCGATCTGGATCGACGTCTTGATGATCTGTAAACAAATATCAGATAATTTTAAATTTCTCTATTAAAAATGTAAATTTCACCTTGACTCCATATTTTTACTGTAAGGATAGTTGTAGGTTGTAAACTTAAATTAAAATGGAAACAATCCTGACTCTAAAAACTGAATAGAATTCAATCTAAACACAAATGTTTTGAAACGTTTTTAAACAGAAAATCCTGTTAAAAGCACTATAAAATATTTGATGTCTGACTGTCCGATTTGTTGCAGGGTTGTTAAAATTCTTTAAATGTAAAAAGAAAAGTCACGACATTAAAGTCAGTTACCAACATCAGCGTTTATCAGAAGCGTGAGACTGTTGATCAAGTTCCGAATGCTTCCTCGGTTAATTTAAAAATCATCTCTAAGCAATAATCAATTCTTTGAAAACTGTCATTGTAACTTAATTGTTCCAATTCAAAAAACAATAAAATGGTTCAGCTTCGATTTATGAGATATGAATGATCAAATTCGAGCTACAGTTTTTTATATACAAGTCAGTAAATTCCTGAAATATAATAAAACATCGAAACGGGATCTTCAAGCTTCTTTTAAAGTTTTTCCCTAATTTATTTGCATTTTTTTGCTATGTCTCAATAAAAAAATATGAAATAAAAAATTTCACTGCTTATGAAGATAACTAGAGAAATGAGCACTTCTTCTAATTTAATTAAGAAAAAACTCGGCAAAATTTCGTATTCCAACATTTCGATCACGAACAATTAAAAGTTGATCATTTGACGCAAAAATTGACTCATTCAAAGGAGATCGATGAATGTGAACATCATTGAAGTTGTTGAGATGCATCATATAAACAGTTCCATTGCTAAATGTCACAATCAAATGGTTAGTTGAAGTGATTGTTTTACTGACAATCTTTTCATGTTTATGAACATTTATGGCAGAAGATTGAATGACTTTAAATGTGTTTCCATCAAACTTATTTACACCAATTACAATCACACGTTTTCTCGATGTTGCACTTGAATTTGTTTCATCATCAGCTAAATAAACCATGAACAAATAATTCTGAAATGACATAATTAGAGAATTGTTTATTATTTAACATTCTTCTGACATTTTTTCTAACTTTTAACTCACCTCTTTAAATTTGAATGTTGTTAAATTTATTCCATAACTTTTCATTAAATCCAATGACATTAATAAATCTCCGTTTTCATAATTAAATACTGACACTTGAGATTCACCAAATGTCACAAGTTGTGAATCTTAAAATAAATAAGAATGAATTAGATAAACATTAAGCAAATAAATAAATTAATAAACAAACCTCTTCCACAGCTCATTTGTTTAGTTTTATAATTCAAAAGTGGAAATTGCCGAATGCTTGCTAATTTAGCTAAATCAAGATTTGGCGTCAATTTGTACTTCACAATTCCTGTAACAAGTGATTTCATATCTAACGATCTTTGATTCCAACCCATAATAAAATAGCTGCTATCTGGGACAGTCGTGTAAATAATGTCATTAACAACACTCTTCACAGTGTCAAGATGAACTGATGAAAACTTTGCACGTGACGATTGTTCATCGATGTAGTAAACATTACAATAAAGGAAAGCTATTGGACACATTTCGGGATTATCTAATTCCTTCTTTTTAGCTCGCATCTCAACATAAATCGGCAGTGAATTTTTATCATTATAGCACAACCTTTGGAATTTATTCTCGGAATCAATAAGCGTATCATGAAGTCGTCGAGGAATTCGATCAATGAGTTTAAATTCAGTCTCCCCTTTCTTGAGTAATGAACCAAGTCGATTATATTCAAAGAAAGCGATTGTGTTGTGTTGGAGACTAATTAAAATATCATCGTCAAAAAATAAATGTTCAGTTTGTTCAACATTTAAAGGATTTGTAGTCGTGAGATTAACATCTATTTGCTTAACATTATCCGTTTGCGTCTCAACTGAACAAAGAAGCTTCTCAGGAACAAATGTTGCATCAACAGCTTGAATTTTCGTGTTGTTATTCGTTTCTTTAATTGTTATTTTCTGAAGCATTTTCTTCGGTGCTCTTCTATGCAAAATAATATTTTTTCTAAGACTTTTCGTATTGTCATTGAGTCGAAATATTATGTTGATTTTATTGTTAATCTCTGTTGGTGATTTGAGCGAATGTAAACTAGGTTCTTGCTTAACAAGATGACTTTCAACCTTTTGAGCTACAATGACCTCAACATTATCGCAATCTGTTGTTTCTTTTTGCGTTTTCATTTGCTTATCATTGTTTTCTTCTGAGCATTCCTCCTGTTTCGATATTTGCGGTTGTTGTGAGTACAAATTCGTATCTAAAATGGCACTGGTTGAGGATTCAGGTTGTAACGATGGCAAATCATCTTCAAGTTTTATACGTTTAGATCCAAGTAACTTTGATTTATCATAGTTATGTCTTTCGAGAATGCTAATCAAGCGCTTTTCTGATTTATTATTAGAATCATTAGCTTTTGATTTAAAAATTCTCAAATTCGGTTCTTTCTTGTTAAATTTTTTTATTCCAGCAGTTGTTGCTGGAGATATAATCGAACTTTTGCTAGTATCATGTTTAACAGCTGCCAACAATGTTGATTCGTTATATTTATATGAATAATCTTTCCTTACAGAAATCATGCTGTTTCTGTGATTACGAATAAATTTTGAAGATTTAGGAATTATTGGCGATTCTTGGATTGATGAGAAATCTATAGGAAGTAACGGGGGGAGATAATCAGCCATTGGTTCACGTTTCACTTCCAATGGAGGAGCTAAAATTATTAAATGTTAAAAATACAACAGAAATCAATCGAAGTTCTTAATGTAAATAAATCATAATTTACCCATTTTTGTCTCCTCCCAATTTTTTGATATTCTTTGAAGGATTCCTTTTTTCATTATTCTTGTACTTCGATGTTGAACGAACTTAAAACAAAATCTGTTGTTACATTTGTCTCGTTAATATCGAGTGATAGCGTTTTTTTAAATTATTATTAAATTTCTCTGAAGGAGCTTCACAGGAAAGTTTGAGTGTCAGTAAAATATTTGAAAGGTTTGGGAATCTCTGTAGGTCACTCAGGAATACCATTAAGGGTATGCAATACTATAAACGTTTCCCTAATTCATTGAACCCTTAATTAAACGCTTTTCAAAAAAACTGTTTTCTCTAAATTTATACAGTTTTAGCTCTTAAATCGATTGAGGCTTACATTTTTAAGTACCTAGTTAAGTTTTTTTCGAGATATTTGTGAAACCAACGTATTCGGTTGCATAGATTGACACCCTTAATGTTAGGAAAAAAGCAAACGTGTGGTGAAAATCTGAAATGTTTCAGATGGAGTGGTGAAAAAACATCAACACGATTAACTTAAAGAAACATTATTTTATCACTGAATTTAAAGATGTTAACAAAAGAATATCGAATTGCCATGCCACTAACGGTAGAGGAATACCAAATTGGACAAGTTAGTAACTTCTATCGTGATTTTTAATTTAAATTATTCATATTAACGTGACTTGTATTTATTTCAGCTTTATATGATAGCAAGACATTCACTCGAACAATCACAAGGAGGTGAAGGAGTTGAAGTTGTTGAGAACAGAGAATGCACTGAAGATGAAGAGAAGTAAACATCTAATGTATAATTTTTTATTCATTTACATTTTCATTCATGAAAATTCAGCATGGATGACAACCAAAAAATGTTTCTTAAACAACGAGAGTCTCATAAAAAGGGACAATATACTGAGAAACGAATTCATCTAAGCTCGAGATTACCATATTGGCTACAAGCTGTAACTCCAAGAGTCTTTTACGTAATTGAAAAGTCATGGAATTTTTATCCATACACAATCACAGGTGAGTTAAAACATGATTAGAAATGAATATAATAAATCAATAAAGTTTTAATTTTCTGCTTTTAGAATATACTGTAAGTAAAATTTACTTTTAATCACTTCCACAATAATAAACATTTAAATTAATTTCTTAGTGCTCATTCTTGCCAAAGTTTCGAGTTGAAATTTATACAAAGTTTGAAGATAACAGTGGAACAAGTGAGAATGTCTTTAATGTTCCTGAAGATGAATATCCTCAAATTGCAGTTGATCACATTGATATTGCATTTGATGAGATTCAACCAAAACACTTCAAAGAAGACGAAGACCCAAAGACATTTAAGTCGGTTAAGACAAATCGTGGACCCTTAATCGAAGGCTGGAGAATCACTGACAAGCCACTTATGTGCTCGTATAAATTAGTTCACGCATCATTTGAAGTGTGGGGATTTCAAACAAAAGTTGAAGATTTTATTCATAAATGCATACGAGAAGTTCTTCTCTTAGGACATCGTCAAGCTTTTACATGGGTCGATCAATGGTATGACATGAATTTGGAAGCTGTCCGAGAATACGAGAAGCAACTTCAAGAAGAAACAAATCAGAAAGTACTTAATGATATTCCTGAACCAGATTCGTGTGAAGTTAAGATTGAAACTCCACAAAAAGATGTTTCAGAAATTGATTAATCAAAAAAAAGTGAAAGAAGGGATTTTAGTGATTTTCATCGTATGTGACTTCAATGTCGTATCACACAAAGTTATTACCATGTTGATTGTGCACCAGGCATTCTGTCACTGCCGATTACTTACCAATAATCATTTTAATGTCATTCGCATATGTATTGATGTGTTACCAATCAGTCAAAGTGTCATGAAAATGAAAGAAAATAAAAGTTGATTGTATCTACAAATAACACGATAAAAAAGATTTTAATTGGCGTCACATTGACCTTCATTTTATTTGGAAGTCTGCTTCTAACTGTGGTGATTAAAGAATACTAAATTTAGGACGGTGGTGATTTCAAAATTATTTTTCATATAAAACTTTAAAATTGAAAAAACGCGAACTTTGTGTTATCGTCTTCTTTCGTAATCGTGTTAATTTCAGCTTCATTCTTTAATTTTTCTTAAGGTTGTTTATATTTATTTGGATTCCATCCAATCATAAGTAAGACACGTGCTATGACTACGAGAAAAGACAACACATTCAATTCTAGTTTTTGTAATGATTTTTTAATTTGTTTCACCACCTTTAACATAATATCAAATTTGGTTAATTTTTCATGAAAAAAAGTGAACAATTGAAACTTTTGCTGCTTCTTTCTTTTTAATAAAAAACAGGACATAAATCCAGCACTTCCCATTCAAATGTTTTTAATTATGGAACACATTTTGACACAATCCTTATTATAGCAGAAGATTTAAGAGAAGCTTAGATTGTAATATTTTGACTGTAATCGTAATTTATGGTGGGAATAACACTTTGAACGAATTTTAGGAAGATAATCAGATAAGAATGAACAGAAAGTTCATTTCCACCTTCTTCAGCAATTTGAATGAATTTTTTCATGAGGTCAGAATGGCGACAAGGATGAACCGCAAGCATTGATGGACCTAAATGTGGATGTTGTTCCATTGTGACTGTTTTCTTCGCATTATCTTGAGATACATCTTCGAACATCTCTTCAACAGTGAGCAATTTACGATTTTCATCCTTGTCGTAGCCGATAAGGAATAAATGAGGTGTCTGGTAATACTTATTATAGACGATGTGCAAATCGTAAGTTCGTGTGTGAACAATCGAATCATCAGATTCAGACGTGATTGGATTTTTCTTTTCAACCGGTTGGATAATAGCTACAGATGGATCAACATTATCTAACATTCCTGATTCTTCAAAATCTTCCATATCCATTGCTTCACCTTCATCATCTTCATCATTGGAATTATTATCAGCATTTTGAGATTCATTCTTAGCACGTATCTCATCAATTTTTGAGTTATCCAATGTCATTTCAGACGGATTTTCATTTGACTCATCTTCATCACCTTCTGTGTCATGAGTGACCCAGCCTTCTTCCCCTTCCACATCTTCGACAATTCTTTCAACTCCACTAAATTCCATTTGCTTGCATCTTCGTAGACAAGGAACATTTTTTGTGATTAAAAATTGCTTATCTTTAGGTAAGTATGATTTTGCTTTCGTTTCATCTCCAGCTGCCCAACTCCATGTCGGACAGTGATGAACTAGATGATCACCTGCAGCAATCTTTTTATGATAAAATTAAAGCTCAAGTTGAATTATTCCATCGTGAACAAAGAAATCTTTAACTTACAAATTCTTCTGGTGTAATACGACCACATTCTTTAAATTTACTTTCCTTCAAGACAGGCGTTAGTTGTTCAGCCACAGATAAAGTTGTTTGCTTTATTCTATTAATCACATTTTCCATGTTTTTAGACGAAAGAAAATAGTCTCCTCAACTTCTGTTCAATCCGAATTTTGCTGATTCCGGCATAATCCTCATTTGTAGAATTGTGCAATGTAACACTTTGAACCGTTAGGAAAGAACAGAAAAATTTAGCCCATCACAATAAAAAAAAATATTTCAAATTCTTAAATTTCTATAAATTGTGATTTTATCGATTCTAAAGACATTTTTCAATCTCGTAGATAATTCTATCAGATTGAAATTTTCATGTACCGTTTGAATACATTCATAGAAAGATATTGTTCATAAGTTAAAGTGAGAAATTAAGCAAAGAAAAGTGAAAAAAATTTTGACCATCCCAACAGCTCAAGAAAATATTGTGAAAATGTTTTCATCAAACTTGGATATTTCAAATGCCCAACAAAACATTGAAATAATAAAACAAGCTGTTATTGATTCTTCCGATCCAAGTCTACAGCTTGATACTTTGGATGACCTAAATTCACTTCTTTTCATACTGGAAGATCCAATTTTTCGAGATCTCATAAAGATTCAAGATGTCATCGTTGAACTAAATGGTCAACTTCAACAACATCCATCTATTCTTCCTGCTGATTTCGATATTGTTCCTACGACTGGTGAATTGGTGCTCAATGTTCCTCGCAATTCCGATTATGATCCGTATGTGGATGAACAAAGAGGTAAATACAAAAATCAAGCTGACATTTTGATTAATTATCTCATGACTTATCTTCATTTAACACATCTAATAATCATCATGAAATATGAGAAAAAAACTGATTTTTTCTTTTAAATGTTTTAGTTCCTTCAGCTCAAATCTCACCACGAAGTCTTCATAGCCCATCAAAATTTAACGGAGAACAATTTCATTCACTTGAACGAAATGGAAAACAACATCAGGAAATGGAAATGATGCCACGTGATCGTGATCAAACGAATGATGATCGTCCACAATCTGCAATAAGCAATAATTCAAAAGCAAATGTCGACATAATGGCGAGTGAATGGGCTCAAGTGCAAGCAATTGAGCTTGTGAACGATGGAACTGGATTAGGTTTCGGAATCATTGGTGCTAAAACATCAGGTGTAATAGTAAAAACAATTCTTGCTGGAGGTGTTGCTGATCGTGATTGTCGTCTTTTATCAGGCGATCACATTCTTCAGATTGGTGAAGTTAACTTGCATGAAATGGGATCGGAGCAAGTAGCAGCTGTTCTAAGACAGTCAGGAACTCATGTTCGTCTGGTTGTTGCTCGTGCTGTTGATCCTTTAAAAACAAATCAAGATGTTGATGGAAATGCTGCAATTGTTCCATCACGACTTCTCAATGATCCATATGAATTAAACCGTTACCTGATTGCAGCTGGTTATCCTGAAATTTTTGGAACATCATCAACGCCATCATCACCTTTACAAAATCCTAAATTCAATTTCAAACAAGATGGTGATTGTGAGAATTTAATTGAACTTCCAGAAACTGAAAGATTTACAGTTGAGCTGAGAAAAGATTCAAATGGTTTAGGAATAACGATCGCTGGCTATGTATGCGAGAAAGAAGAATTGAGTGGAATTTTTGTGAAAAGTGTCGCTCCAGGAAGTGTCGCTGATTGTGGAAAGATTCAAGTAAATGATCGAATCATTGAAGTTGATGGGAAGTCTCTTCATGGCTACACAAATCATCAAGCTGTTGATGTTTTAAAGCAAAGCGGAAACGTCGTTAAACTTTGCATCGAAAGATATTTGCGTGGTTTGAAGTTTGAACAACTTCAACAAGCGATTGCTGCAAATGTTCACGAGCTTAAACAAACACAGGTAGCAACATCACCTGAAAGCAAACGAATCAACACAGTTTCACCAGCTTCATCATCACGTCGTCAATCATTCAACGATGAACGGAAATTAGTTATGGCACGTGATTCAATCGAAACGAAACTTCAACATGAAATGATTGGAAATGATTTTAATGAACAAGAATCGAGTGTTGATAACGAAGAAGATTTAATTAACGAACTGACTAATCAACATATTCATTCACCACCCAAAACACTTCATAAATATCACATCGAACCAAAACTAACGAAGGAACATGAAGCGGCAATTATAAAGAAATGGCGCAGTGTTTTGGGTAATGATGATGATAGTAAAATAATTGTCGCTCAAATCAGAAAGTTTGCTGCATCGAGTGGCTTAGGAATCTCTTTGGAAGGAACTGTCGATGTTGAAGGTGGAAGAGAAGTTCGTCCGCATCATTACATTCGTTCAATCCTTCCAGAAGGTCCCGTCGGCTCGAATGGTCTTCTAAGATCAGGTGATGAGCTTCTTGAAGTTAACAATCAAAGGTTACTTGGAATGAATCACATGCAAGTTGTTTCCATTCTTAAAGAGTTACCACAAGATGTTCGAATGGTTTGTCGTCGTGGCATCACTGAAATCATTGCATTCACTGAAGAAAACAATCGAAATTCTTTGTTAGATTCAAATGACAGTAACAACAATCAAAACACTTTATTATCAACTGATCGTTTGGTGAAAGCAAAATCTGACGGAAGTTTATCGACAGCTGTTGGTAATGGCGAGAGTTTGATGAAGATGAAATCAAGATCGTTAGAACCATTAACAGGTTTAGCAATGTGGAGCAGTCAACCACAAATTATTGAATTGGTGAAAGGTGAACGCGGTCTCGGATTTTCAATTCTCGATTATCAAGATCCGCTTGATCCAAATGACACTTTAATTGTCATTAGAAGTCTTGTGCCCGGTGGCGTTGCACAAATTGATGGACGTTTAATTCCTGGTGATCGTTTATTGTTTGTTAACGAAACACGTCTGGAAAATGCTTCGTTGGATCAAGCAGTTCAAGCTTTGAAAGGTGAGATAAAATTTGTTGTTTCAATGAAACTTTAATTCAAAACTTTTCTCTTTCTTCTTTTAAAAGGTGCACCGAAAGGAATTGTTCGAATTGGAATTGCAAAACCACTTCCAATGTCAGATTTTCTTGATCGTAATCATTCAGCAACCGAAAGCTTTCAAGATGAATTAAAGCTTCGTAAGCCTGACATTATCATGGAATGAGATGCAACACTCGTCCATCTTCTAACATCTATAAATTGTTTCATTAAATTTATTGAAATCAATCATCATGAGCGAGACAAACTTTATGTCTAAATTGCACGTTTTGAAGCATTTGTTTGATTGTTTGTAATGCAATTCACTTTAATTCATTCCATGTAAAATGAGGGGGTGGGAAGAGCGGCGAAAGTTTAATTTGTTTCAAACTGTAGAAGATTAGAAAAGGTGGAAAAAGATCAAAATTTGATATTTTATGGAGAAATTTTCGGAATTTTCTTCTAAGATTTCCTCCAATTTCGATCAAATTTTATTTATCAGACTTATTTTATTATAATTATCGTCAATGAAGGAGGAAAATCCACCGCCATGTATTAAATTAGTATTTAATTGTAGTTCACTGATCTTTCCTCGTATTCACCCTCATCATAACTTTAAGTTATGTGACACATTCCTACACTCAATTTCTCATTCCTTTTTTACCTTTTTGGACTGAGATTTATGGACAGTATTGTTTTAAATTAATCTCATGACATGATTAGAGTTCTTAAAAGTTGATGTTAGTATTTCATTCACTTATAAACACACACACACACTCAATAAGTATAAAAAAGACATTTTGCTGATATTTAATTAAAAAGCAGATGAGAACGATTTATTTTCTAATCAAAGTGACACGAAACTTTAGTTGATCTATTTAATTAATGTAAATGTAGATGATGACAAAAAGAAAAACTTTTTTCTTTGTTCTATTTGAAGAAACTACGAAATGTTGATAAGAATAAATGAGAGATTTAAATTATTTAATTTTTCTGATAATTCTGTTTTTAATCAATAATTTCTTCTGATATTATTTCATAACTGTCGGGGTTGATCATAATTTCATCGACGTCGTCTTCATCGACTTCGTAATGAATTTTGTAATGGTCTCGAAGTTCGCTTTTAAGACGAAATCCTTGGGAACATCCAGAAAATTCACATTCGTAAACTTTAGCGTCATGAATTTTTGTTAAATGTTTAGCGAGATCGCCCTTTGATGCGTAAGATTGTGAACAAAAATGGCATTTATGAGGTTTCTATTAACAAAAGAAACAAAAACGAATAAGTTAATTAACAGTTTTCAATGATGATCGTTTACTTACTTCTCCGGTATGTGTCAACAAATGTCGCCTCAGTGACCATAAATTTGGGAAATGTAAAGTGCATAAATCACAAGGAATTCTTTTCTCATCAATTCCAAGATGAACTTTCTGAATATGTTTTTTAAGTGATTTAAGTTCAGTATATTTTGCACCGCACCCATCACAAACAAACGGTTGTTTTTTAAGATGACAAGCGTCAATATGACGACGAAGTGACAATCGTGTCGAGAGGATGCTTGGACACTGATGACAAGGAAATCTTTCGCCTGAGTGAATGCGTTTCATATGTTTTAAAAGACTGTCACGTGTACCGAATGATGAAGTACAATCAGGAAATTGACAAAACAATTTCAAGTCTTCCCTGTGATCTCTTGTCAAGTGGCGAGTTAAAGATTTCTTGGAGTCATGCTTCAAACTACAAACATGACATTCAAAGTCATCACATTTGTTTTTTGGAAAAATAATGGGAATGAGAGATTTTGGCTTTTCATTTTCTTCTGATTTTGGGATGTGAGTATTTTTTATATGCATTAAAAGTATTGAAGTGCTGGTATTTTTTGTATATTTCGGAGTTAATTTAAATTCTTCTTCGACACATAAACGACAGTAAAAATGATATTCATCTAATGTGTCGCCACGTTCATTTTCAAGTGCTCCAAAATATTCCCAAGCTAAACTTTTACTCGATGCTTTGAAACAATTGACTTTGTATTGTAAATTTTGATTTCTGTTCCGTAAAAGTTCGCCGTTTTCATGTTCAAGAGACTTGTGCATTTGTAAGCTAGGAGCAGTATAAGATTTCTCACATAAATCACAAAATTCTATGTCTTGTACATGTTGAATCGTATTGAATTTTTCTTCTTCAATTTCAATCATGTCCTTCTTCATAATATTATGCAATCGTTTCATATGTGAGAACAAATTTGAAGTTGCTGTTACATCAACTCTATATTTCGGTTTAAAACTATGGTTTTGTTCCACGCAGATCTTACAGAAATAATAATCCTTTTCTGACTCAACACTTGTGCCGTTTTCATCTATCAGAAATCCAAAATACCTCCACACAGATGATTTCTTTTCTTTATCAAGACAAAGAACTTTATATTTAAAATTTGTATTTTCTTCGGCGATTCCTTCATCATCGACATAGGCGAAAACGTATCCTGGCATCAATTCAGTAGTATTTTCTTCATCGACTTGATGATTAGATTCAGGTTCTTTCTGTTTCTCATCCTCTATAACTTCCATCTCCACTTCATTCAAATCGCTTTCTAATGATGCTTCATAGACAATGTAAGCATCCTTCGAATCATCTTCTATAAAATTTAAAGCGCTTTTCACTTCATATGAAAATTCTGGATTGTTTTCATCACATTCGTCAAGTGGAGTATTTAATTTTTCTGATTGCTTTTCAATGTTTTCTCCAGATTTATGCTCAATTAATCCATCTATTGAAACTTCTTGTAGCTCTTCCTCTAATGACTTCAGATATCTTTCACTGTCACTACTAATATTTCTTAGTTTGTAGGCTTTAAGCACTATATCGAGACATTCTTCACATATTTTTTTAGGTAAACAATCATTTGACTCAATTTTAATCGGACAAATTATCATTGATAAAATCGATATATGCAAGCCTTCACGAGTCTCTGATAAATCATAGAATTTTTCATTTTGCAACAAGCACAAGCGACACATCGCCATAACTGAAGATTCTTCGAATTGTCGCCTTCTTTAAAAAAATGTTTTTATTTTGAAATTTTACTATTTAGGTTTGTTTTGATTTGAGGGAAGTGAGAATTGTGTCTCCGTGGTAAAATTCACTTTCCTCAGTTTTGCGCGCTTAATTTTTTCTTCTTAATCAAAAAATGAAAGTTTTGCTTACCAAGCTTTTTGCTCAAAAAAAAAACTTCCTTTAAATCAAAAAATCTGTGCATTGCATTGCAGTAATTAAACAAAGAAGGTTATTAAAACATTGCAAATTTTCTAGGTAGCAGCAAAAGATGTTTATAAAAATTATGAGACATTTTCAAACACTTGAAGGACTTAAACTTCAAATCGTAGGAATGACCTCATCGGATATTCAATCAAAAATATTACAAAGTCAGGATTTATGATACAATAATTTCTCTTCACCTTCTCCAATACTTAGAATGGAAATTAAATAAAAAATACCTAAGGGGAAAGAATAATAATCTTAATTTAGCTGTTCATAATAATTTTCGTCTTGAATTTCTTTTAGATTTTGGCCCTAAGCATCAGCCTTTCTTCTAAAGCTTAAAGAAATTAATTACGTTAAATAAAATTCAACTTGAGTTTTACGAATCTTCTTTCAAAAGTCTTATTTTATTAGAGATAAATAAGATTTATATCTGTCTAAATAAAAAATCTCAGGTATTTTCTGAACTTTCTATAACAAAAATACTTTTATTATTAGAAATTTTTTATCAATGCAATGTAATAAATTACTAGGTAATTAACTGTGATGGACTAAATTTATTCTTCCTTCTTTGATTTTCATAATTAAATTTCAATTAAGTTTAGAATGTTGTGATTCTTCAAACATTTAATTTAAAACTCATTGGGCTTTTTCTTGCAAGAAATGTGAAGGTGATGATGTTACGTCCACAACGATGTACATCCTTCTTGTTTTTACCTTGGATTTATTATACTAATTTCTCGAGACTACCTAACATCAAAATTTCATTCTTTTTTCTAGATTGATGGAATAATTACAACTTGTTAATTTAAAGCTCAATAGATTTTGCTTTTAATAAATGATATTTTCTCATGTGACGGTTTACATTACTTCTATAATTTGATGTGTATTGACATTGAAGACATCTGAAGATTCTTATTGATTCTTGCAACTTTAAATAACTTGGTGAACATGAATTTGTACGTGTATCTTTAGATAGATGACAAAAGATCATATGCTCATTTATCTTAAACTTTGTTTTTGTCTTAAAATTACAAATGTCACAAATTATTGTTGTCAATTTTGATGTGTCTATTTTGTGGACATTTCTCATATGTCTTCTTAAATTGCTAGTAATTTGAGTTGAATAACCACATATGGAACATTTTTTTAATATCTTTTCTTTCATATTATGATTATTATTTTTAAGGCGAACCTTAGAAACATTCGATCTTCTGTTGACATCCTCATGATAAGAGTCACTTTCTTCAAAGAACGATTCTTGCATGGAAGGATGATCACTGTCTGAGAATTCTGTCTTTAATAGTATGTTTCCATTATATCTGTTGGTGACTTCAAAGAAAATGTTTTCTCCTTGAAGTTCTTGTTGATTATTCAATTCCATTTTCCTAAATTTTAAATCATTTATGACACTCGTACTTCGTAATTTTACAGCACTTTGAATCACTTCGAAGCATTCCCCGCAAATTTTCTTCGGAAGGCTGTCGTTGACATTTATTTGAATAGGACAAATTATTGATATGAGATCCAATATTAACATTCCTTGTGAACGATCAAAGATTGAATTTAAACATCCAAAGTTTCTACCACACAATCTGCATAAATTTTCCATCTTGTACGCCTAATTAAAGAAGTAAAAGCGAATTAAAATAATTCAGTCTTTGAGAATATGTCTACTAACAATTTCTTTGGCTTCTAAAATAATAAACTTGATGAAATTGTCGGATGATTTTCTAATTTTTTTATCAAGTCTGTTTATTTACAAAAGCAAGAAAATGTTTTTTCCTCGAACGGCTGAGGAGACACATTTATAAATTCAAATCAGGAAAAAACGTTATTTTATGTTCAATGTTTTTGATAAAAGCAATGTTTCAATGTTTTTCTATTTTAACTTTTAAGGATTCTTTTTAAACTTTTTTATGAAAAAATGTTTAAAATTTTTTTTGAGAAGTTGTAAATGAACAGTTTATTATGAAACCAAAAACAACCGCCGATTCTACTTAGAACTTGCATAGAACAAACACGTGATGAAGTTTCTCATGTTTATCGTTAAACATGTGAATTAATCTCGTGTTTTCACGGACATAAAAAATTGGGGTTGCTATAATTCTTCTATCTACTTTATGGTTTCTAAAGGAAATATCGTGTACAAAAAATCGAATTGTTAATGTCTGCGGCCGTTGATGTCTAGTCTTACCATAAAAAGTTCTTAAATCTCCTTGCCATTTGTGAAGGAAAATAAAAAACAAGAGAGAATAGTTTTTTATCATCCTTTCGCAATATACAAGAAATTTGGAATTCCTTATTAATAACAAATTATTCTGAGGATTATAAAAACACTTCATCATTATCACAGTTCTGAAAAAAATTTAGCGCCACAACAGAATTGAACGAAAACATTGAAACTAAAGCAACGAAAGCTCACAGTGAAATATTTCAATTTCAAAAGCTTTTATAAAACATTGAGTGGGAAATGCTAACGAAAAGAAATTGTCTTTGGAAGCTCAGTTCCTTCTTACATTTCTTTCGGTTAAGTTCTAAAATTTTATAACAAAGTGCATTTAATTATTATTTAAAAAACATGATAGAAGAAGAAAATTGCAGGATAAATCTTAATTACATCTTTAATAAAAATATGTTGAAATGTAAATTTAAATATTATGTGAAAATTGATCTAAAGAATGGAGGAGAATGCTTGGACTTTATTTTTCTAAGGACTGTTTAAAATATCTCTGAAAGGAATTTAAACGAAGTTTGTAATGTGGGACTCAATATCAACATTAGTTTATAAATGAAAATTTATTGAGATTTAAATTGATAACATACATTATTTATAGTAAGTACGTATTTGCCTGAAACCTTTAAATACATGAGACATCTGAGTTTCAGATATTTATTTAGAATCCTTATGGAAAAGGAAAGTTTTCTTGAAAAGGTTAAGCAATCTGTTGATTTTTAATTGTAATGTGCATAAAATATTTGCATAATGGGCAATAAATCTGTCTAAAAGGCTTTTATCATCATAATTAAAATTTTAAAGAACCTTTTGCAAAGTATGAAGGTCTTTAAACTTCAAAGACGAATAAACTAACAAGCATAGTTAATGCTGGTTAAATAATGTGAATTAAAATAAACTTGAGTGCTTTTTTCTCATATGAATGATTTCAGATGAAATCTTTTGAATTTATCATGTGTTGAGTTACATAGATGGAATCTCATATTTATGTACATACATATTAAGTTTTCATATCTCTATGAAAGTTTAAAGAAAACATTTGAAGTACTCTGATAATCGTTTTATAATTAAATCGTATGAGTTATGAAATAAAAAGAAAACTCTACTTGAAATCGGAACGTAGATACTTTTCCTCTCCACAACTCCACAAATGATTTTCATCGCATACCTTTTTTTTCTAGCAATACATAAAAGGTTCATTAAATTAAAAATAGAAAGGAATCATTTCTTCTTCAAATGATATACAAAGGAATCCTTCATGAGCCCTATAAAAACAAAAATTGAATTCACATTTTTTCATTTTGGCAATAGGTAAATTTAAAACATTTTTCTTGTTTCTACGATTTTCTTCGAACATTTAGAAGTCTAATATTCTTTTTTATATTCTAAGAAGGGTATGAAAACTCTTACTTTCTCGATTGGAATTTCCTTGATAAAAATTTCCAAGTGATATCAAGTGAAACATTTTCAATTTAATGATTACTTATTGAGTTAAGGATGTCAAGTTGATTTTGCAATTTTTTGAAAAGATCATCAAAAATGTAGAGCATCAGCATTTTATGAACATTTATTATTGTTATGAACATTTAGTTTATTACTTAACACTGAAATTGGGGAAAATACAATCTCAGAAATCTTAGGAAATGTTAGATTATTACTAAATATACGACACATAAAACTCTTGTAAAAATACTTTTTAATAACGACTAACGAGTATCGTTTATTTAGTGTTAAACTTTTTACGTTTTCTCAACAAACATATTAAAATTTGTTGCTATCTCAATTCTTTCGAAAATTAAAATTACTTTCTACTTAATTAATTTATTTCAATGCATTTTTCAGGTGGAATGATTAGTGAAATTAAAAACTTTTACAAAACATAAAGAAAGCAACAAGTAGCAGAAGTGTATTTATTTTTATAGTGCTTAAACATTATTATCGTGACAATGCTTGTGACAATGAATAAGAAAAATAATAAATGACCTTCAAATGTATTCTTGACAAATAATGGCAAATGTACGATTTCAATTTCAAACAAATTAAATTGATGAAATGAAATTTAATACGTTTAGAAAATAAATAAGCATAAAGTTACAGTTACATCGAAATTGTTTAAAATTCATTAAATGAAAGTATAAAGTAAACACAAGGCCTCATATGCTGATTCATAATGATGAGCACTCTACCAACATCAAATATAAATTTGTTTAGTTCAAATTATGGACAAAACCTTTTGGACCTGACAACCACAATGCCTCAAAAGGAAATGTCTGATTGGGCATACGCAGCCACAGCTACTGTGCTATTTTTTATAGGATTTTTTGGATTTTCACTCAATCTCTTTGTGATTGTTCTCATGTGTAAAGATATACAAGTAAGTTATTTTAAAAGATATCAGAGCTTTTCAACATTGGGAAATATGTTTTTATGTTCACGTTGTGAGCTGACAAAAATATAAATTTATTTAAGCGTTGTCAAGACGCACGACAGCTCTTAGCTTCTAAATAATTCAATTCGCAACAGTCACTTCCATATGCTTACAAATCAAAATTCTAGAAGCAAAAAGAATATCAATTAGAATAATGAACAAATTATGTTACATAAATACAGAGAAACATATTTCAAATGTTCATGCTTCATTTTACATTTAAATATTGACTTTAGAAGAAAGGAAGATGAACTTGTAAGTCAATTTATTTTACTTTATTTCTTTAATTGAACATTGTTTTTTAAAAATAAAAGAAAAAGAAAATGTTTTAATAAAAACATGAACGTCAATTGTTGATGAATTTCCTTAAAGGAATTAATAAGACAAATGCTGATTCCAATGTTTTCTCGTGAATATCTTTAGAATCAATAAATCTGTTATGGATTTTTTTCTTTTACACATTGACAGATTTGGACACCAATAAATATCATCCTATTAAATTTAGTGTGCAGCGATTTTTCAGTCAGCATCATTGGTAATCCTTTTACTCTCACCTCAGCGATTTATAAGAAATGGATATTTGGTGATACAATCTGCGTCTTTTACGGATTCTTCATGTCCCTTTTAGGTATGTGAATTAAGTTGATGACAAATTTCAGAAGTTCACAAGTATTATCTAATTAAAGAAATCTTCCTAAAACTTGAAAAGTATTTTCACCATACTTAGTCTAATTTGGATTAAAATTCTGGGGATCGTCTTAGAATTTAATCAAACCATTAATTTAGTAGACCTTTTTCCATTTCGTAAGCGTTTATTGCTCAATGTTAAAGCGACTCTTGAATATTTTCACGAATCGAAATTTCTTCATTAAAAAAAGTTCTAAAGACTAATCTATACGAAAACCACAATTAATTTGCCAAAATCTATCAAGAGAATGTTTATTGAAGAATATGAAAGTTATTCAAGTTCCTGATGAAAATCAACAAACTATGAATGGTTTAAGTAGGTCGTAAGAAGTCGTGGGTAGCTTTAAATAAAAACCTACTTAAAAAAAAGTTTGACTACAAAATCTGCAATTTTTTTTAAGGAATAACATCAATAACAACTTTAACTGTTTTATCGTACGAACGTTATTGTTTGGTATCACGTCCATTTTCATCATCCCAATTGACGTATAGAGGTGCACGTTTTGCCATCATTCTAATCTGGCTTTATTCGTTCGCTTTGACTTCACCACCGCTTTTTGGTTGGGGGAAATACATTAATGAAGCTGCTAATATAAGGTGAGTGAGATTAATTCACAATCTGTGAATCATTAGCAAACATAAGAAAAAAAGTTTTCTCTAAGTATCAAATCCCTTCATTAACGTGAAGCATACTTTCATAAACATAAACAATTTTATTGACATTTTTTTATTGACAAAAGTTTTATTTTATTTACTTGATCATGCTGATACATTTCTAAATCTTGAAGTTTTCACTACTTTCTTTATGTGAATTTTTATGGATGATAATTACATTAATCTACCGCATTAACGTTGCAACATAGAACTTGCGATTAAATCATATTTCAGTTGTTATAGTATGATAATTTCATCAGAAAAAATTAAGTTTTTGTATAACTGAACTTCCTTAACGTAATCAATGTTAAAGATATCTAAAGTAGAAAAGTTTGTCCTTTTATAGGAAAAGTTTAATTAAATATATTGAAAGCTATGTGTACATACCAAAATGTCTTTCAAATATTAGACAACTTCCACTTTCACAGATTATTGAAGAATTTTAGGAAAAATTTTCGTCACTTACTGAAAAGTTTTTCCTAGTCAAGAATTCATTTTGAAACATGAAACATTTCCTACTTGAAAGTATATTTTTTCTTAATTTAAATTCAAATAAAATAAGAGATCAAAGCTTTAAAATGACAGAATATTTATGTCAAAGAAAGGAAAATTTATTAGGTAATATACGGAAAATATACAAACAAACGCAAGATGTCAAAAAGAAAAGAGACTTGTTTATGTATTTGCTTATCATCTCACAATGTCTTTCATAATGACACAATGTCATGGAATTTATTTTAATGAAACTTATTTAAATCTAAATTCGAAATGTTTTCAGTTGTTCTGTGAATTGGGAATCACAAACTCTCAATGCAACATCTTACATCGTCTTTTTATTCGTCTTTGGCCTTGTTGTTCCTGTCGTAATCATTGTTTATAGTTACATAAGAATCATTCAGACTATGAGAAATAATGCTATGAGAAGCGGACGTGTAAATAAAGTAGAAAGACGGGTTACGACCATGATTTTTGTGATGATAATAGGTAAGAAACTTTATCGGACATATTTCGAAAGTAATTTTGTGAACTCTTTTCATTTTCTTTTATCTCTTCTCATTAACTTTCTCTAAAAGCTTTTTTGCTAGCATGGACGCCTTACAGCATATTCGCACTTAGTGAACAATTTGGAGATCCAGAACTGATAACCCCATCACTAGCAGTATTACCGGCATTGATTGCTAAGTCAAGTATCTGTTATAATCCCCTCATTTACGTTGGAATGAATTCTCAAGTGAGTTTACATAATTTCAATTTCCATTTATTTATCTCATTTAATATTCGCCTTAAATACCTTTATTGATAATCTCACAGTTTCGAGCGGCATGGATTCGAATTTGTCAGAAAGAAAGTGCCCAAGAAGCAATTAATGAAACAACAGCTCATCAATTATCTGAAATGAGTAGCAGAGCTTACATAGATTGTTCATTTCCGAAATTTGATAAAATTAAAAAAAGTCAAGCGCCGAAAGAAAGAAACATCCGTCACGAAAACCGCTTAGGCTTGAAGAAAACCCAATTAGAGGAAACTTTAAGTGTTAAGAATAATAAGAAGAATGTAAATAATAACTTATTTAAATTGAACAGAAACACTTCAACCGGTATGAGCAACGAAATAAATTTTTCCGATGTAAAGCTGATTAACTTTTCAAAAGAAGTTAGTAATAGAAGTGAGAATCGTTATGAACAAAGAATGTTTCCGACTGAGCCTAATATTTATGGAAGAACAATCAATCAAACTTTAAGTGTTAATAGTCTTCAAGCGGAGTTGTTCTAACAAAGTCATTGACACGCAACTGACTTCTTTTTGGGAATTATCTAAGGCTTAAGGGGATGAAAATTTTAGAAAATAGGTATAAGGAAGAATAAGGAACGAAGTCTTCGCGAATTTTGTGATGATAATGAAGAGACCATTAATACAATTTCTGTATTTCATATTTTTATAGAACAACGGAAATATTTAAAGAGATGACTTTAAGCCCTGAGTCTTCTCTAGTAAATATTTTTGACTTACTTTTATATTTCCATCAAGGTTTCTATGCTTGCAAGGTCAAGATTTCGTTGAATTTCAGCAACAATTTACTAAGAGGCTTTTTTTTGTTTGACCCTCCATCTCGTTGATTTTTTTAAGGTTTCCCCCTGATTTTTAAAATCTCATGAATAAATATTTGTTTTTAATATAATGGACGTGTTTTGATGGATTTCTTTCCTTCGCCTTATTTTTTAATTAGAATTTTTACATTCTTTGTCATCGTTTATTGAAAACAGAATAAACAAGTTCGTAGATTCCAAATTATGTTTGGGAAAGATTTAATGGATGAATGTAAAGAGTCTTCAACCATAGTAATTTGTATTTAAAATTCATAAGAACAATTAAGTGAATGAAGGTGTTCATGTAGATATTTTTGGAATGAAAATTTAATTCAATTTGTCGGAGGCTTATTGATTTCTTTTCCAGAAAATACTTAAATTGTGTATTTCATGTAGATATTTAGTAAGTACAATAAAATGGAAATTTTGTTTTGAAAGAACTTTTTAAATTGCCTTCCTTGTATACCAAACGTAATTAAATAAAGAAAATTTGTCATGGAATGTTCTGAAATTTTAAAGGCAATTGAATTAATTACAGAAACTCAATCTACTGCGGATGACCCATATTTAGTAACAGTTTAAATATTGGAAGCTATGTTGTGGCCAACCTGTTATGGTGAATTTTTTTTGCTATGGCCGCTTCAAAACAATTTAATGTGACAGATGTTTGAGTTTGGATTACATTTGTTGATCGATGTTTGCTTTTCTTTTCAATTGTTGTTGAAATTTATTCTTGAGCTTCAAATACTTGAAAGTTATTTACTGAAATCATATTTTTATCTCGAAAGTTTGAACTTTTCTTCGGTTTATTCTCTGAAAACTTTTTCAAAGCTCATCGACATTCCAGCATAGATAAGCCCTTTTTTTATAAAAGATGAATTTTTACCGAACATCACTGACCGCGTCATTAATTTTGAGAAGGATAAACGATGAAAAATTCAACTAAAAGTCTTTTTTTATTCGCAATTGTCGTCGTTGCTGATGGCAAGTCGAATTTTATTTTTGTAATTAAATAAATATTATTATTTTTTTACAAATGTGTGTTTGCAAATAGTAGCTGACAAATTGAACAAAAATTTCAATCTCATTGTGTTATTGACCTAAATTTTTATTCTACCTACAATAAATTTGATACTGCTACTGATAGATGTATCATCGTCAGTTTATTTCAGCTAAATCTTTGGAATTCAAGCCAGAGAATGCA